AAGAAGCAAGGGTAAATATTGTGACATTTCTAGCATATAAACAAAAAGTGACCAATAAGGGAGACTACAAACACCTAAAAAATGAAAACAGATATATATCCCTAAAAATAAAATAAATTTGCTTCTCTGGTGCTTACAGAGGAAGTGAGGCAGATGTCAGAAGCAGAGATTAATTTCCCAAGGAGGAAGAATACTGAAGGAAATAAGGCTCATGCCAAGAAAGAATTGAAGAAATTAGAAATGTGAAAAAGCTGCCAAAAAGTCCAGGACCAGATGGGCTGCAGCCTACTCTTCTAAAAGAAAGAGTAAATGAGATGGAAGAACCATTAGCAGATATATTTAGAAAGTGTGTGAGAACAGGGGAATTACTGATGGACTGAAGAGAGGCAAATGTAACACCCATACCATACCCTTCATTTAAGAAGCAGCAATGACTCTGCAACTGTGAGAGTTCCCTATTGCCAAAGTATTGTGCTAGTATTAACTGCTGACATGGCAGAAGGGACTGCTGCTTAAGAGTAACTGAGATGTGCTTGTCCAAAAGAGTTAAGTGTTAGTCCCAGCAGGCTTTGTCTGCTCTTCTTTCTTAGGGTGTTTTAAAATTCTAACAATGCTCAAAAGAGCACTCTTTATTATTTTATATTACTTTGAATACTGAAATATCCATTTCTATGTTTTTATGGGTAATTTACTGAAATACAACAGTCAACCAGGTCAGAGAAAGATTTACTACTCCAGCAATTCCTATATATATTCAGCCAGACTAAAGCAAGCCTTGAATGCAACTAACTTTGAAATTTAACATTGAAATGCTAAAAACAAAATAAAATGCCAACAACAAAATAAAATGCCAACACATATGAATGTACATAAGCAAATCACAGTAATAGTAATTAATCTAGATCTCAAAATATTAATTCTAAGTAAAACAACATCCAATGCCACGGGAAGAGAAGCAGAAGATAGTGGTGAAAACTTGATCTGTAAGAGAAGTATTCAATTTCTAAAATATTCTTTAGTGATGTTAAAGAAAATAATCAGTAATTAAACAATTAAAGAAGAATCAATGACAAACTCTGAAAAAACTGAATGACTTCTCTTGGAGTCCTGATACATAAATATAGCTCAGCATATACAGAATGCTGCACTGTAATTCAGATTGGCATACCGAATGAATTTAAGAAGCAATAACTTTAGTAGATGGCAGATGTTTTTTATTCAGCTATAATTTATAAATAGGAATTCTCCCCAGTCTGGACTTACATTCCTTCCTTTTCACAAATAACCATTTTTTTCCATAATCATCTTTCAGTCATTGTTTATACTCCACCAAATTCCAATCTAAACATTTCTCTGATACCTCTGTTTATACACGATACTAGCTGATAAGAAAAACTACTCAAAAAATAACAAGTAAAATATTCACTTTCACTTTCCTTAGTTACAGCGTAAGACACTAACTGTTCTGCAGATGAGCTTCTGTTCATGCAACAGTCTACTGAAATCCGGTATGGGAATGGAAATGTTGTACTAGAGGACAAAATCTAACCACTACCATCACTTATCAGAGCCAACATACAAAATGTGCACCTAGCAACTGAGAAGCAAAAGAGTAAGAAATATTGGTAGAAATTTGAGGAATTTTTGTTTGGTCAAATCTTTTAAGAGATTTGAATACTAAGAAATTGAGTTATTTTAAAAGCAAGAGGCGACTCCCATTGTCGTAATGCAAGCATTTGGCAGCCATTAAGCTCCAGCAGAAAATAATCTTCAAAAAGTTTTTAAAATCTGAATCTATGTCAAGTACTCCTCTAACAGAAGCGTAGCAATTGAAATAACTCAAACTAATCAGACTCACAAGTTCAACGTTGTTATCTGAAACAGATATTTCCTACTAGTCATGACTTTTTCCTCTTTAAATGGTAACTGACACTCACTGTAGTGTACAAAATACTTTTTGTATTTGAGAACACAGCATTAACAACTGTTATAGAGTAATGGTAGGCTCAGACAAAATCTTACTAGTCTACCAAAAGAAAACAATATTAATGGGTTATGGTAAAACTTAGACAATTTTTAAGGCACGTTGCTTGTCAAAGAGGTTAACTTACTGATCTGGATACAGTGTCAAATTTTTATGGGAAAAAACCATGTAAAACGCTGCTACATGCACATTTTGTCAAAGGCAATATTTACCTCAACCCTTATTAACACCATCATTTCACCATTTTAATAACATAGATTTGAATCTAGTATTGCTTTGTCCTAATACATTAATTGAAGCTCTGTTAGCAGCAGCATATGAAGTATAAGTTAATTTGCATTATTAAGTGAACTACATGTATCTCACAAAATATATGATGTAGCTGAAAATTGTTTTTCAGACAAAGAACAACTAGTAATTTGGAATATCCTTTTCTTGCCATACAGATAACTGGTTAAAAAGAATTCTCTGCCATGTCATTTTAGGCAAGTCAGAGGTAAGTTACATGTAAAGATGCACGCAGACCACTACTGACAGACTAATCACTTCTAATTTCACTATTATTTTTTAAATGCATTAATAAACTTTTGAAAATGGAAGCATGTTTCATGAATATCTATTAATTCAAACCACAGTCCAGTCTTCAATGTATGTACTAAGCAATAATTCACTTCTTTCAGCCATTTAAGATTTCACACTGTCATCTCTGGCATGATCATTACCTTTCTTTAAAAATGCATATTCATCAAAATGTTTGCGATTCAATGGATCTTCTATTTAAATTATCAAGCCAAATCACTGTCTAAAAGAGAGACAGTTGTAACAGTGGCATAAAAGCAGTACTGGATATCTGTATTTGTTTACACACAATGAATACTAAAGTCTCTCCAAGACTGAGTAAAAGAAAAATATAATTCAAGTACTTCCACGTCTATTACATCAATCTTTGTAAGATTTTTTCCAATTATATATTATGGCACTATTATATTCAGAAATATTAAAAAACACTTTTTTCATAAATATATATACATATTAAGATAGATTGACGGGAACCCTAATCATGCTATTATAAGAAATATATTTGAAAAAGAAGAATAATACAGAAAAGAATGAAGTTTATGCTCAGCAACAATCCATTTCAAGAAATATTTATCTAGAAAAATGTAATGAAAAGCAGCTTAGTGTATAGGTAATAGGATATTAAAATTAAGTTAAAACCGTACGTCTCCATACTTGTCTGAGAGAGAAGTGACAGCTGGGAACTGAAAAACATTTGCCGAAATATTACAAGGTTCTTATTCTCTTTTAAATACAGTCTTAAACTGTACTGTAGTCAAAGGTAGGCAAGTAATAATGAATCAGTGTGCAAAGCAGAAAATACAACAAGTGAAAAATAAAAGTCCTGTAATTTTTCTTGGCATGGAATGAAAATCTGTTTTGTAATCCTAAATTACACCCCAATCATACTGAGAGTTTTTCAATTTGTAAATGCATACTGCAAGTTCTTCTAAGTTTATTTCTGCATGAATTATGTGTTAAAGCATTAAAAGGAAGACTTCAAATACATACTACAACCACTCAGGTTATCAAAGTAATGCAATGATATTCCTACTACAATAATGCTTACATACAGAAATGTCTGTCAGTGTGATATTTTCAAAGAAAATGTGTTAACACACTGGAAAATTAATGTGGTAAAAGACATTAAAATACATTTTAAGAAGCATTAACCCTTAGTATTGGGATCAAGAGTTGTCTACAGACAAATCTTATGTACATATACAATAAGAAAATACAATTTTAATGTATTCCAGTTGAAATATTTTATATTTTATATTTCTAAACGTAGGAGTGAGCAGCAAATCAAACTATACATGTCTCTTAATGAGTTAAATTCATTAACTTATGAGTTAACATTTAAGTACATCAAATTATTCAGTTCATTTTAATTGGTGTTTCACTGTATGACTTTACAAGCATGTCAATTACTTCAAGTGGCAATCAATAAAAGGTCTATTAATAACAATAGTAGTTAATTTTTATCAGAACATACACTGCTCATCAAAAATTAACCAAAACTTTACCATATTTTATTTCTTCCAAGTGTTCCAATTTCTGTAACACACATGTACTAAAAATACACAACATACCACAGTTCAAAACATGCCTAGCTATCACTGATCTACACTGGATTTTTACCACTGTATTGGATTTTTACATTGTATTCTAAAATCACGCATGCTAAACATCTTGTTTTATTCATTCTTAGCAAACAAAATAGTTTTCCCAAATTAATCTTCATATCCCCTTAAGGAACATAACACTTAGAGGGAATCAGTATTTGAGGAGAAATTTAACTGACAAATAGAAACAATTATTTTGCTCAGATTGCTGCCTGCTTTAGATAAGGAAAGACTACCAAATATTTCACAAATCTAATAATACTGAGTTCTTACTCAATTATTTCCTAAGTCATAAAGCAAAATTAATATCATTCCATACATTTTAGATGCATCTTCATTCAACTTCATTCATGCTATGTAGTACATAAACATAAACATACATAAACATAATTGAAACTATGCATTCTTCTTACGGAATGAAATAAAGATCGTAATTAATAAATATTATATAATAAGTGGGAAAATATTTCCAAAACCAAAATGATTTTAAAACCTTCTTTTCTTCATTTATAGTAGTTTGGAAGCATACATAATGCTACATCATGCTAGCAAATACACAAACTGCAGTACTATATAGGAATTCTATCCAGTTTACCAATCTGCTACTCATCATCAACCAAAAGTACAATGGGATGCCACAAGGTCCACAGTAGACCATTGAAGCCCTTACTTAAAGTCCATTTGTAACATTTCAAAGTAGCAAGATAACAAAACCTAATCTTGACAGGCACAGGTGAATATAAAGACAAAACAGGAGTTACTTATGCAGAATCCTTTGCTCAACTTACACAAAGCTGTATAACACAACTGACTGCAGTCCCACCATCACTCACCACAAGTGAAAGGGGCCTCTTCCATGAAACAACACCAATCAATCCCGACAGCAGCACCTGCAACAGAGAAAGCAGAATCATCAAAGACATGGGTTTTATAACAACATTGTTAAAAATAATTATAATAGTATGTACTAAGGTGAATTTCAGTCGTGACACGTTTCTAGAGTGTTGGAACCAATTTGCTAAAAAGATGTTTTCATTTTATTCTGAGTAAGAATTAAACAGAAGTACTGTTAATCTGTTTTTCAATCCAACTGCCAAATCCAATTAGTTCTGATAGAATACAATAGGTCTTCAAACAAGTTCTCCCCAAGTGCCAGACATTATCAACAATAACAGAGGAAAAATGTAAATTTTCACGTGATCTCTCAGCATCCACAAAAATCAGCTCAGAGAAACACACAAGAAGGGGAGTCAAGATGTGGCAATTATTAATTCTGTTAGTATTTCAACACAGCTACAGTAAACACAGAATGAGTAAAATACAACAGGGGTGAAGGAAAAAAAAAAAAGGGCATCAGGAATTTTTTTCCATTAGGACATTTAATTAAAATAAAATCCAGGGAATAGGCTTATTTCATGGTTCTGCAGTATCATTTACCCTGTCTGACTAACAGTAACTCTTATACTTAGCTAAACTGATACTATCATTATGAAATCTTCTGTAATTGCTTAGAGTAAGCTGTAGTATCATTACTGCTCTCTATAGACCTTTGATATTCAAAGGGGTGAAAGACCAGGAGCTAATAAATACTCCTTCCCATTACATGGTATTTGAAGCTGGCTGAAATTCAAATGTCAGAAAGTCACCATTCTCACTCTATCATGCTTTACTAGCAATTCTTCATGTATATTAACTGTAGGGCATAATAATTAAAAAAAGCATCTATATTTATCATCTAGAAGCAATGTTGTACACTCTTGCTGGTAAACCAGGCTTGAAATAAGAGTGTCTGCTGATGCTTGGTGTGAATATGCAAGGAAGATCTCTTGGTGCACAGAAAAGGTGGGTGGTGGAGTGCCCAGTTTAAGCTCTCACTGGTCTGTGGGCATTCATATTGTAACTTATTACACACAACTTAATGAAATCCACAGCTACTGCAGCTGAAAATATTATTCAGGAAGGCATGTTGGAAGATGCATCTTCTGATATTTAGCAGCTACGGAAAAACCTCAGATAAGGTTTCATAGTAAGACTACAATGATGTTAGTTCTGAATCCAAGTACAAATAGAACCGGTGAGAAGAAAAAGAAAGCATGGCAAAAAGTGAGCCAAAACCAGGATATGGATAGCTAATGACCACGCAAATGGTCTCCACATACAAACACGTGGTTTGTATTCTACAGCATATCTTATAGCATTATAGTTATGCATCAGATTTCTGCATGCTGACCAAGGCACAGAGAAGCAGAGTTTCATTTCCGAAGTTAATTTAATTTGCTCACACAGATGCATTTGCCTATGATTGCTGTATGGCAACTGTCTCTGGCTGATAATCATGTAATGTGAAGCTGCACTCAGGAAGGTAAAATGACAGGGTTATCTAGCTTTACTTAGGCTAGACAGCAGCATGCTCTTAATTAAATAAATGGAACAGCTGAAACTGTGAGGTTATTACAGAAAATCCTTTAGGAAAAACAAAAAAAACCTGCCTTCCAAAAATTATGTGTTGATATGTAAAATACTCAATAAATCAGTATTTCTCAGTCACCGAGTTGTGTTAAAGAGTCAAACTGGTTTAGTACACTATCTACAGCTAGCAAACCATCTCTTCCATTTGCCACGTAACCTCTCTATTGCAAGTTACACCTCTCCTCCTCAAAATACTCATGGCACTGTGCATACCTAAAACAGCAAAGGAGCCAATCCTTTCTGTTCAGTTTGAACCACAGCTGATTTTGATCATCACCAATGCCTTGCAGGATGAAAGAGTTAAATGTGGTTTTGTTATAAAAAGAGAGCTTGCTGGCACTCATGCTACCACTAACCATGCAAAAGGTCAAGCACTGTAAATCGGTACATTCTCAATATGCACTGATGGTAGGCACTAAAACTCTGCGCTGTATCTGTGTCATTAGTATTGCCATTACAAGAGTTCACATGAGCAATACTGCAAGGTGATTTTCCAAATCCTGTCAGTCCCCATTATCATTGTGGTTACCCATCAGTTTTACTTTGCTTTGAAATGTAGCTTTCTGTAGTGGCAAGCACCTTTAAGCAGCCATATACACAACTGCACAATTAGGAAAAAAGCATGCTGGGAGCATTACATACCAACACTTATTAGAATACATCAAGTGACTCATAAAACAGAAATCTAAATCTGATTTCTCTTGGTCTTGTGCACAACTAAGACTTAAAAGTAACAATATAAAAATTTTGCATTCTCTTCATTTTTACTTTTTTTTTCTTTTTTACTTCTTATAAATGCAATGCCAATTTTGGGTAAACAAAACTTTTATATACAGAAGTATGAATTATTTGAAAAGTAGTATGTAACTCACAGATCTAAGAAACCCTACAATCATCATTCATGGTATCCAATGCTTCCACCAATGGAAACAGTATGCATAACCCACACTCTGTTTCACCAGATGAAGGGCCATGAAGGTGAGGGAGTTCTTTTACACAAGCATCTAAACTGCACTTCCTAAACACACACAGCTCAGCATAGCAATCTATAGGTCTTCTAATGTTTTTCAAAAATCAAAACATTGTATGTACGATTTGCAGGTTTCTTTCTGTCTTAAACAAAAAGTAAATTGGTCCTGTCTATTAAACTTTGACAGTGGGTTTGATTTCAGAGCCTGCACATAACATTATCTAATGTCTTGGACCTAACTTCTATCTGCTGAGCGACAGTGAAAATGTCCAATCACATCATAATTATATAGTCAAACTACTAAAATTCTGTTCAAAAGCATACATTTGGCAGCTTCTGCAGAATTCCTACAGCTATAACAATGGTGTTCACTCACAGAGCAAAAAAATAAAGAGAATACATCAGTCCTGACTTCAGCAGTATTAGAAATGCCCTGCCATTAGGTATGAAGCCTTTCAACATGCATATAAAACCTCCATTATCATTAATACAAGTTGTGCTCATGCACAGAGAAAATGCATTTATTTTAATGTGCACATACAGAGGCAGGACAAACACAGAGGGCAAAATTACATCCTAGTACAGGGATTTCAAAAGACAGATTTAAACCAGCAGTAAAAAAAAAAAAAAAAAAAAAAAAAAAGCCCTTGTCAGCTTGATTTCCAGCATTTTCAGAGGGCTTAGACTTTGAATATGGGACAGATCAGATGATGCAGTCTCACGATACACCTTATACCATTGGTTTTACAAGTTTTCACCTCCATCGTGGTTATTTGTATATAATTCTTTTTCTGGTATCCTTCTTTTAAGCATCTTTTTTGGACTACAAAAAATTATATTTATACAAGCATTAATTCAATTCAAACCACAATAAATACTGTGAAACGCTATCAAGGTTAATCTACAGAACAGTAAAATTACTGCTGTTTCAGCATTATTTTTTTAGTATAACAAATTCTCTCTTTTTTTTTTAAATACAACTTGAAATCTTGCAATGCTTTTCCAATATACAGCATATTAGCTACTGAAAACTCAAAGCTCAGTTACCTATCCTTATTTCTAGTTTCTTGTTGAGCACAATACACCATATGCCAAGTCATCTGCTCCTGTTCTGCAACTTTAAGAGTTCCTCAGCTCGTAAACTCTGAACAAATCCTGCAGACAATGGATTCAGTTATCAGTAAAATAAGCATACATATTGTTCATAAAAATTGAAGGAAACTTCTTCTTAGCCTTCTTCTAAGATACAAGACATAGCAAATAATGGAAATTGTGGTTATCTTTAGCTCCTAAATTGCCTGAATAAGCAGAAACAACAGCTTCTGCATTTCCTTCCAAAGCACAGGACAATATGCATGTAACATGTCAATTCAAATGTACAATTCCAATATGTTGAAATAAACTATTTTTGAGAGAGAAAAAAGAGAGAGATCACAGTATTTAATTTATAGAGAGTAACTGTGCTACTAAAAGCATTGCGTATTCCTGCAAGGGTGGTGGAGGGGAAGCCAATCCCAACTGGGTAAATGAGCTCTAATAACAACTGAAATTAAAATGGAAACACTTGTCTAACAAGTTAGGTATAATTGATAAAACTACAGTAATCACTTTATTTTGCAGAATTATAGATAGCTTCATACAGTAAGAAAATATAAGTGCTTCCAGGTGACTTAGAATAGACAAGGTAACAACCAAAGTAAATTAAGGCATTACTAAGGAAATTAAGGCATAACTGCAGAAGCAGGGCTTAATGGAGTTTCAAAGGAACTAATTAAGGGACAGACAAAGTATAACAACTGAGGAGAATATTGAAACAGCAAAGAATGTGGTGTGGTTTTCTCTGTTCAAAGTGCTCATAAAAAGAAGCTTTACCTACGAACATGAAATAGTATTTTTAAAACAATAAACCAAGATGTTGTAGCATTGCACTGGACATAAAGAAAATATTGGGGGCAGCGTAATTATATTAAAAAAAAAAATCCATAAATTTATGAATAGATTTAATCAATCTTTCAAAATAAAAGGCCAAAAAGTATTTTGAGAAAGGTGCTATGAAAAATAAACGTGATTTTACACAGTATAATGCAGCCCAGGTACTGTGTTTAGTTTTGGGCCCCTCATTAAGAGAACAGCAACACACACAGGTGGGGATGGGGCTAGAAAATAAAACATATGAGGAACAGCCAAGGGAACTGGAGTTGTTTGGTCTGGAAAAGGCTGAAGATAGACCTCACTGTTTTCTACACCTACCTGAAAAGAGGCTGCATTGAGGATGTCAGTCTCTTTTCTCAGGTGACGGGTGGCAATGAAATGCTGTGCCAGGTTTAGATTGGTCATTGGGAAGAATTTCTTCATGGAAAGGCTGGTTAGGCATTGGAGCAGGCTGCCTGGGGAGGTGAGGAAGACCCCATCCCTAGTGGTATTTAAGAGATATGTGTTTGTGGCACTTAG